AAAAATATTGACTGAAGTTGAACTTTGACTAAATTTCCAAGTTAAAATGCCTAATTGCACAAACTCAAAACGAAAGCCTCGAAACCCCAACAAGCCATCCTACTAGACCAAAAATGACCTTCCAGATCTAACTGTGCTGATGGAATTCTCATCCGATCAATATTTATCAATAATATTGAGTTGAGTCGAACTTTGACTAAATTTCCAAGTTAAAACGCCTAATTGCACAAACTCAAAATAGAAGCCTCGAAACCCAAACTAACCAACCTACTAGACCAAAAATGACCTTCCGGATCTAACCACGATGACGGAATTTTCATTCGATCACGTTTTACCAAGAATATTGACTGAAGTCGAACTTTGACTAAATTTCCAAGTTAAAACGCCTAATTGCACAAACTCAAAATGGAAGCCTCAAAACCCAAACCAATCAGCCTACTAGAATAAAAATTACCTTCCGGAGCTAACCGAGCTGACGCAATTCTCATCTGGTCACATTTTACCAAGAAATTTGTAATTTAGTTAAAGTTCGACTTCTGTCAATATTCTTGGTATAACATGATCGGATGAGAATTCCATCAGTGCGGTTAGCTCCGGAAGGTAATTTTTATTCTAGTAGGCTGATTGGTTTGGGTTTTGAGGCTTCCATTTTGAGTTTGTGCAATTAGGCGTTTTAACGTGGAAATTTAGTCAAAGTTCTCGGTCAATATTTTTGGTAAAACGTGATCGGATGTGAATTCCATCAGCGCGGTTAGATACGAAAGGTCATTTTTTGTCTAGTAGGATGGTTGGTTTGGGTTTCGAGGCTTCCATTTTGAGTTTGTGCAATTAGGCGTTTTAACTTTGAAATTTAGTCAAAGTTTGACTCAACTCAATATTCTTGGTAAAACGTGATCGGATGAGAATTTTGTCATCTTCGTGGTTAGATCCATAAGGTCATTTTTGGTCTAGTAGGATGGTTGGTTTGGGTTTCGAGGCTTCCATTTTGAGTTTGTGCAATTAGGTGTTTTAACTTGGAAATTCAGTCAAAGTTCGACTTCAGTCAATATTCTTGGTAAAATGTGATCGGATGAGAATTCCGTTAAAGCGGTTAGATCCGGAAGGTTATTATTGGTCTAGTAGGATGGTTGGTTTGGGTTTCGAGGCTTCCATTTTTAGTTTGTGCAATTAGGTATTTTAACTTGGAAATTTAGTCATAGTTCGACTCAACTCAATATTCTTGATAAAACGTGATCGGATGAGAATTCTGTTAGCTTGGTTAGATCTGTAAGGTAATTTTTGGTCTAGTAGGATGGTTTGTTTGGGTTTCGAGTCTTCCATTTTGAGTTTGTGCAATTAGGCGTTTTAACTTGTAAATTTAGTCAAAGTTCGACTCAACTCAATATTCTTGGTAAAACGTGATTGGATGAGAATTCCGTCAGCGTGGTTAGATCCATAAGGTCATTTTTGGTCTAGTAGGATGGTTGGTTTGGGTTTCGAGGCTTCCATTTTGAGTTTGTGCAATTAGGCGTTTTAACTTGGAAATTTAGTCATAGTTCAACTCAACTCAATATTCTTGGTAAAACGTGATCGGATGGGAATTCCGTCAGAGCGGTTAGATCCGTGAGGTCATTTTTGTTCTAGTAGGATGGCTGGTTCGGTTTTCGAGGCTTTCGTTTTTAGTTTGTGCAATTAGGCATTTTAACTGTGATGTTTTGGCCAAATGGTTTTCCAACTGTTGTCAAATCTGCCAAGCCTATTAGTGTCATTAGTTGCTCAAACTCTAACTTCAAAATTCATATCAGGATTACCATTCAATTGTCATTCACTCCTTAGAATTGCATTAATCTTCCTTTACTAACCAAAGGACAGATGGATTTATTAGCTCCATTGTTGACCATTTCAATTGTGTATGGTAGATAGATAGCTGTAACTCTTCATCACTTCTAATTAAATACAATCTGATATATTATATGCCTTTTTATCGATCTAAAATTTCATTATCTTCTAAGATGCAGATCTTGAAGAACGCTCAATCTAAATTCTTTCTTTGAGGTTAGAATCTTTTGAAATCTTAACCTTTTCTTATGCTTTCTTGTTCTTCTTATCATATTGTTTTTTTTCTCTTGTAAATGTGGTGAGAGACAAATGCAGCATATGTGAAAATAAGTTGGCATTCCATCCAAAATAAGGGTACATATGTCCAGTGGTATAATGGTAAGGGCATATATGACCCAATAGTATAACGAATGGTATATTTAAACCATATTTGAAAGTACAGGGGTACATTTAACCCTTTTCCGTTTTTTTTTTTGGGTAGAAATCATGCTTTTTTATAACTTTTTTAAAAAAAATGATCTCATTTTATTTTGGTAAAATTCTACTGTGATGTCTCTATAATACTAGGTCTTATGTTGTACATTGATGTTTTTTCCCCTTAAATATAAACATACAAGTTCATTTTTCGAGTGTCTAAAAATAAAAATAAATTTCTCGCAATATCATTACTGAAAATTATAACAAAAGATTACATGTAAAGAAGGGTAAATCTAAATACTTATTACACATAATTAAACAAGTCAATGTAAGAACATTTTTGTCAATGTCATCGCTTATTTACGTAATATATTCTTTTTGTTTAGGAAATTTAATCTATTGACATTTGACACATGCACTCACATAAGTTAAAACTAGTTTAATTAAAAAAGAGTAAATCAAAATTGTAGCATAAATCGTGTTAAAAGTAAGAATTAGCCAAAATGAGGAAAAACTCGAATGAAGTTCAAGCATATCAAGTGGTTTTCAAGTTCTCTATAGTAAGCCCTAACAAGCAAAACAAGAACCACCACACACCTTAAATCCTTATTACATAAGCAACTAATGATTCATATTGAGTAATGTTTTGAGCATATAAAGTCTCACTAAGCTCAAAGTAACTAATTAATTTCAAGTTGCTCCTACCAAATTGGACAAGTTGGTAGAGACTTCCATCATATCTGGGCGTTCATTTGGATCCTCATTCAAACATTTTACTGCTAAGTCTGTGATGCCATTAGAGAGCTCATCATTATCTTGCAGAATTGATTCATTCACTATTGATCTTTTTTCTCCTTGGAGTTCCTTAAGAATCCAGTGGTGGTGGAGTTCCCTAAGAATCCAGTGGTGCATTGCCATCTTCTTCTCTATACCAATGTAGCTATTGCCAATCAACTCCACAAGTAGAATACCAAATATGTAAACATCAGCTTTTAAATTCTGAATACCTACAATAACATGCAGGATCATGTAATGTTAGTTATTTATTACACGATAAAAAAGAACAATCTTACACATCCAAAGATTAGGATAGATCATTGCAATTCGAGATTTAGAAAATATCCAACAAAATCTTAAAGTACAATGTGAATGAATAAAAGTCATTTGTCCATCCTCTATCACTAACAAAAGGTAATAGAATAGAGATAGATACTGATGATTGAGAACAAAAGAACAAAACCACAACAGGTCAAACGTTGTGTTGTTGAGGCTTATTTAAGGCGTGTATAAGCCGAGCTTAGGGAGGGTGCTTCAACTCACTTAAACTCTGGTTAAGTATATGCAGGGTGAGCTAAGGTGTGTGACCCATTGCCCATGAGTATTATCTTGAATAAAGTGGTGGCACCTATAAATAAATATAACCGGCAAAAGAAGTTACCTTTTTTTTCTTGCATTACATATATGTTTGTACTTGGTTTCTTAATAAAATCCACACCTCAATTTCACTTAAAGTCCTAATAGACCTGGAGTGTTTTGTTAAAAGCTTTTCACCTTCAAATGAAAGAACAAAGGAAATGACAATAGAAAACTGATTCCAGATATCCTTGAGTACCAACCTCTGCCTGCTATATTCCAGATGTTCCGGGTGTCTCTAGGAACATGAATACAACCAAGAAACTCACACCAAATTAATACTACAGATACAACTAATGAAAGAAGCAATGAAGAAATGGTTGAACCTAGAACATTGACCAATAGAGAAAGAATATTTGCAAGGAAATCAATTTGTCCAGAGCGACAAGAGAATAAGGAAAGTACAATATAATTACACACAATATTGTATTTTATGACATTAAGCTAAACAAAGCAGAAAGAAGAGTAAAGCATATATTAAAGAGAACGAGAGGCATCTCAAACTGCAAAAACTCTAGGTTGTATAAAAGGGGGAAAATCATGTATCTAAAATGCCGAAGAGATCCTTTCCTCTTCCATTCATTTAAGGCAGTACCTGCAATCCTTCTATCTAGATATAGCCATAGCCACATGCATTCTAGATTGGGTTGTTGCCCAATCTTTCCCTTTTCTCATGCATTTTTTTATGCGAGAGAAGGCGAATACAATAAATGAATTCACACCTTGAAACTTGTAACTAGCAAATTCAGAAGTCACTAACTTGGAATTTGGATTATGATTTATTTAATTTTTTGGAAACATTTGTGTCATCTTCATGAATTCTATACCTAAATGGTTAAGGTTAAAATCAAATGATTCTCCCGTCAATCTAGCACCTCCGGCAACGTTTACAACACCCTCTCCTCCTCCCTTCTAATCTGATCCATTTCTCTTTCGTTAACCCTCTCCTCTGTTCTTATTTTCTGCATTCTCTTTCTTTAACCAAACTTTATCGAAACACATCCATCTCTCTCAGCAGCTACCTTTTCTAACTTTTGCTTTTGCAAGTTTATGAAGTACTAAAAGAAGCATTATCTTAGTGTTGTATAAATAAACGGAATCCATTTTTTGCTAATTAAAACAAATTGTCACTCATCTATGCATTAGTCAATAGCAAATACGGGGACAAAAGGTTCCCATCTTCTACAAGTCCGATTAGCTGTTTTTCTTGAAGGATTGGTAACATATAACATTCAGAGCTTAGCTGGTTCAAACAAACAGTTTAAAAGATAGAAGTTCCCCTGACTATAAATTTCTTCACCACAAAGTTCACTAAAAGTATAGACATTTAAGTAAATAAGACAATAGACACAGCGTATCTAGCCTCTGGAGGTTCTCGAATAGCATGATAAGGCAAGGGACCCCAATTATCTTCATTCGTGACCGGAGTAAGGAAACCAAAGTCGAATACTTTAATGTTGAAGTCCTGCGAGCCAAATTGAACAGTAACTTGTAAAAGACCAACACGTAAGGAGGTCGAAAAGGAATGAAGGTATTAATTAAGTTGTTACGTTGTCAATCATTATGTCTTTTGGTCTGACAGTACCAAATGTATATCCCTCTCATGAAACCAGGCGAAGAGGCTTGCAAGTTGAGTGGCCACCTTCATTCTAGCATTCCATCCAAACTGATTGCCTGCCCAAGGAACAGATGATACGTTAAAAGCTAGAAAATTTGGTCACAGGTGAAAATTCCTTTACCAGAAGAATAAAGGTTGGTTGACAAAACTTGTGTTGGCATTTCATCATACACTAGTGCAAGTATATGTTGAAAACAGAAGCCCTTTAACTTCATCAAACATGGATCTCGGTCTTCACACGTTAGTATTTCAAGCTCGTTCTGCAAATTAAATTTTTCAGATAGGTTAGGGAAAAAATAAAAAAAATGAGATGGAACAAATTAAACATACACAAAATCTATCCGGATGGTCAGCATAAAAGGGGAACTGTGGAACAAAGAAATCCCATGTTTTGATAGCAGCATTGCCTTGATGATCTGCAAACAATCTGCCATACATAGTGTGGATTAAACATTGGGATCGGGAAAATTTTAGGGTCATATTTTCCAAATCCTTAAAGCTGTAAGGCACCACACCCCCCACGGGTGACAGTTTCATTATCCAAAGAGATCTGCAAACAGAAATAATCCTTTGGAATGAAATTACAATAGACGAAATCGAAGAACATATATATAAAAAGAATAAATATACGAATAACTGAGAGACTTGCTCAAGGCGTTCTCGAATGTGGAAGAGCTAAGCATAAACGAATCAACCAACATACGATAACTGTCTTTCCATTCCGACTCATAATAGTTGTGCTTTTGATAGAAATACGGTGAATATTTCCAATACTTTAATTCCTTCCTCAGCTTTTCCACGCTATCCATTGATTCCATGCATGGAAGAGAATGGTTCTTCCGATTTGCCCTACGCCCCTAAAGCTGATTATGTTTCCTTCTTTTTCCTTTTTTTTTTCCTTCTTCTACATTATTAGTATACGTACCCGTGCATTGAGCGGATATTTTAAAATATAATAATTTTTAAATTTATGAATAACTAAATACGAATTATTATTGAGTAACAAAAGTGCAAGTATAATCATATATAATGTTTTAATTTTACATATACAAATAATGCTAACAAAATTTTACCCTAATTTATGTGTAATAAGGGTATGTTCATCAAAGACTCAAAACATTATTCTAATAACTTCTCCTTCTTCTAGTACGATAAAGATTAATAGCATATGTAGCGTGTGTTGAATTGCTATATTTGTGCTATTTAATTAAATTTTTAAGTTCATATATAAATCTAAAACCTAGTATTAAAAATATTAACTCTATTTTTAGCTAAAATCTAAATATAATGTACAAAGCATGTTGCAACCTCTTTAGCACACTATTCTCTCGTTTTATCCTGCAAATTAAATTAAGACGTTTTTCATTTTTTCAAATATAATTTCATAAAATTAGGATGTACAAAATAATGAATTTCAATGATCAATTAAAAAAAGATATTATAATCAAATTAATATATACCACATAAAAATAAATTATCAAATTATATACCACATAAAAATAAATTGTTTGCAGAGCAAAACAAAAATTGAAAGATGAAAAAAACGAATCATCTTCTATTCCTTTGATTTACTATCAGTCTCTTCTTTTATATGATAATGCAATAATATCAATGATAAAAATAAAAAATTTGAAAATGAAAATATGAAATAGCACTTTGCAAGTCAGTATTATTTTATGAAAATTTTCTCAATATGTTAGGTTGCTAAAGAAATAAAAATTACACCACAAAATTAAATTTTATTGTTTAACTATTCCTTTATTAATGTTTTATTTTTCTTCTTTTTTCGTTAATTGTTTTATTTTTATTTATTTTGTATCATGACATTCTTTAATTTATTTTGTAATCAAATAGTGACGCGATAAGAATTTACCGTTTTTATTTTCTATAATATTTCTCTTTAAATTTTAAAAAAAATTCTTCATCCAAAAGAAAAGTAGATTTAATAGTTTAAACTTTGAAATGCTTTATTATGAAATGTTCAAATGTATGTGTACGACTATCCAATATTAAAACAAATATAGATAATTATTAACATTTTCTCGTCTATTAAGTTTTAAAATAATAAAAGTAAACTTTTATATATATATATATATATATATATAT